TTTGGACCGTTTGACTGCAGTTGATTACTTTTTACGGAGACTGTATATCATGACATACCGATGGTCAAAAGGCTAACTGTTGTAGTTCATTGACCCAAATAATGACAATATTGACCGTTTAACCGTCGACGCAGGTTGTAGGTGTTATATAATATGATAGATATACATATACATATACTATGAGTGTCTGCGACATACGAATCCGATACTTATGCGTATACCTATATATTATTATTATGATAAAGTATGTGAATGTAGGTACGTTTAAGTTCAAATGTAATTAAAGTGGATATAATATATGGATATTTCATATAAACCGTCTATCATAAACATGTCTATTTAATTTCAAGCGTTCGGACAAAAAAGTTTGATTATAACCAGTTGCGTGAAACAAGTCTGATAACACATAATTTTAGAAAAAAAAAAAAACAATCATAATAGAATTTACCATCGTTCGTCGGCTGTGTGTTCGAAAAATTAACGCGATAATTGGTTTCAGAATTTACATCGTATGGTTCGGCGGTAAGGTTTTCAAATGTTTCACATCATATTTAAATCATCATGCTATAACAGTTAATCACTATAATATATTTTAATTACCGATATTGGATTTATCGGCCCATCTAAAAATATTATTTTATGGCCACCATCACTGCAGCAGGCAATCGTATAATAGGTGAACATCAGTCATGATACCCAGGTACATAATAATTAATATCCTAAACCTACATTTCAGTATATCGTGACATGGTTATATAGGTGTGCGTTTTGCTTATCGAACTGAAGTATTATTAGGGTAATGGCAATTACACACAATGTCCCTGTATAACGGTTTCTATTAACTATGCATAACATTACGAGGGTCACGCATGGGCGGAACCACTACCGCAAATCCTTAACCGTGACCGATGACCATAATATAGTGTAAATACTCAATTTTTGAATGTGACACATACACAATTTTATATTAGTGATTGCGCTGCTGCATCGAAATACAATTTATGCGTTAAATAATTCGAAATGTATATTTGAATCGTACGCCAAATTAGTATTTTGAGAAAAAATAACCTACACCAGACACGGTGCAATAATATTATATTATTAATAACGAGCACACGTCTCGAGCGACTGTCTAGATTCAATTCAATTAATATACCATTTGTCGTCACTTCTCTAATAAGGAATCGGTTGTGCTTTTCTTGACATATAATAATATCATACATTTAATTATACCAAACATTTACTTTTAGTTTATAAACATCAGCAAAGTTCACTGAACAAATTTCGGTTTGTAAGATTAGGCTAACGGAAAAAAAAAATATCTAGATGAACCATCATTGTAACGATATTACACTATCCATAATATATAGATTATAGACCAGAGGTATTCAAACTTTTCATCCCGCGGCTMTTTTGGGTGCTCACAATATTTTAACGGCTCCCAAATTATTATGAAAAATTTTAAAAACGCACGGATACAATATGGCGAATATTTTATATAATAGGTTATAATAACAGTGACTTTAGTATTAGAAATAAAACTTCAAATGGTCGCATCGTAAAATGTATCGTTTTTATTTCTATATAATGATTGCAAATAATATTTACATTAATTATAGAAGACTTGGGTAAGATTTTGGTTTTTGGTGCTTTGACGTGGCTCCGTTTGCAAACTCTCGCGACGCCCCCGCGAGCCGCGACGCACAGYTTGAATACCTCTGTTATAGACAGTTAATTTGGGTTGTTTACAGTGTTGCGCTCGTAAATGGTATAGTAAAGTTAATTGTTTAGGTTGCGACGGGCGCGGCGGAATCGTCGTCCGCGTGGCACTTTCTGACGGAAGAAAAGATCCCGCGGTGTAGTACCGGGTTGGTAGCAGGAGACGAGATCGGGCTGGACGCCGCGTATCTGGTGTCGGTTGTCGCGGAACAGGCGCTGTCCATTTACGGGACCGCTCGGGACAAAAAGGACGACGGTCGGAAGCGGCGGCCGTTACGTTTGGCCGTGGACGCCGACAAAAAGAGCGGTATCGATGGTGGACGCCGCGGTCGGTATCTCGCGGGACGTCAGCGACGACGGTCAGTGTCCGCCGGTAGTGGACCGGAAGCGGTGCGCCAATTGCTGTGTGACGTGTACGCGGACGCCACGGTGGCCGATATCGCCGATGACTCGGACCTCGTTCGCTTCGTACTCGGACGCCTTCACTCGGTGGCTGCGGCACGCTCGTCTACAGACTTCCGGCCTCTGCGGTGTAGGCGCCGTCGAATAGGATTGGGCCCGCCGTTGACGCTGTTTCTACGTCAGCTGTACGACGTGTCACATACCACTTGTTGGCACCTGGACGAGTGGCGACGACGGTGGGACCGGGAAGAGCTACGTTCGCTGGGCGCGTTTGCCAAACTGTTGTGCAGGGACGAAGTGCGACCTACTGATGCGCTTTTGGACGCCATGCAGAAAGGTATTAAGAGTACAGATTGATTTGTGGCCATGAAATTATGCGGTATTTAATGTTATAATATTATAATGGCAATGATGCATATTTTTTAAATTTTGTTGGTTTGGCATAAAATTTTTAAAATTTGAAAAAACCAGTAGAYGTTAACATTAAACCGGTTTACTGGAAAACCGGATAAACCTATTAGTATTTTTTTGTAAAACATAGGTAGATATCAAAATATGATGTCTACGGATAAAATGTCTAGAAAAAAAAAAGTTTTTGGTGNATATTATTACATAATCTATGTAATATTAAAATGTAATAATTTACACAGGCCTATAGTTGTTACGGTTTCAAAAATCTATTAACCATTTTAAGTATGACATAATTTTTATGAATCTAAATTAGGACCGACGTAAAAAAAAAAGATTGAAAGCCTTTATTATAGATAGTACTAACTACTATCTAATGTATGAGAACACAAGATAATTAATGATAATTTATAATTTATATAGGTACTAGCAAATTTCAAATTGTATATTATAATAACTTATAAGACCATCAAAACTGTATAATATAATTAATATTATAATACGCACATTGTATATCGATTCGTYGGCGTATTTAAATATTATTATTTATTTTGTACAACATATTACAGGGATACTACGCGGTTCCGGTGGCGCCACATCCGACGGTCCGGTGTTACGGACGGGCGGCCACTTGGCAGATGAGATTCCCGGCGGCCGAGTGTCTATACCAAACGCATTACTCGGAGCGGAGCGTGGTGAGCAACATCTATCACTTCCTCCGGACAAAGGTGCCAAAGCTGCGGAAGGGCGACAACGGCGTGTGCGTGGTTAGCGGTTACATGCTCAAGACACTGTTGTGGTTCCGGCTGGAGGCGTGCGGCCGGGTCGAGGACTGGGACCACCGGTGCGTGGCCGTGCACGTGCTGTCGGTGCTCGACGCGCTGGTGGCCGCGCTCAAGGCCCAGCACCACCGGTCGTACTTTTACCCCTACGCCAACGTCGTTCTGAACGCACCGCGGGCCTGTCGGACGATAGTGCCCGAAGACGATTACCAGAACGACGTGGAGATCGTGGAGGCGTACATGTACGGTCTGTTCGAGAAGTCCATGGGCAGYGACTCGATCGTCACCGGACAGGCGTTCCAGAACACGGACGCCGATTACTGGCAGAACCTGGAGTCGGTCATGTTGCACAAGTGGTACCGGGTGCTGGATACCATGGACCCGAAGCCCCGGAGGTTCGATTACTCGAGGAAACAAGTGGAGTACATCGGTGAAGTGTTTAAGGGGATGTTGGCCACCAGGCACTGCGTGAGCATGATTTTACGATCGTTTTGTTCATATAKTTTGGACCGTTTGACTGCAGTTGATTACTTTTTACGGAGACTGTATATCATGACATACCGATGGTCAAAAGGCTAACTGTTGTAGTTCATTGACCCAAATAATGACAATATTGACCGTTTAACCGTCGACGCAGGTTGTAGGTGTTATATAATATGATAGATATACATATACATATACTATGAGTGTCTGCGACATACGAATCCGATACTTATGCGTATACCTATATATTATTATTATGATAAAGTATGTGAATGTAGGTACGTTTAAGTTCAAATGTAATTAAAGTGGATATAATATATGGATATTTCATATAAACCGTCTATCATAAACATGTCTATTTAATTTCAAGCGTTCGGACAAAAAAGTTTGATTATAACCAGTTGCGTGAAACAAGTCTGATAATACATAATTTTAGAAAAAAAAAAAAACAATCATAATAGAATTTACCATCGTTCGTCGGCTGTGTGTTCGAAAAATTAACGCGATAATTGGTTTCAGAATTTACATCGTATGGTTCGGCGGTAAGGTTTTCAAATGTTTCACATCATATTTAAATCATCATGCTATAACAGTTAATCACTATAATATATTTTAATTACCGATATTGGATTTATCGGCCCATCTAAAAATATTATTTTATGGCCACCATCACTGCAGCAGGCAATCGTATAATAGGTGAACATCAGTCATGATACCCAGGTACATAATAATTAATATCCTAAACCTACATTTCAGTATATCGTGACATGGTTATATAGGTGTGCGTTTTGCTTATCGAACTGAAGTATTATTAGGGTAATGGCAATTACACACAATGTCCCTGTATAACGGTTTCTATTAACTATGCATAACATTACGAGGGTCACGCATGGGCGGAACCACTACCGCAAATCCTTAACCGTGACCGATGACCATAATATAGTGTAAATACTCAATTTTTGAATGTGACACATACACAATTTTATATTAGTGATTGCGCTGCTGCATCGAAATACAATTTATGCGTTAAATAATTCGAAATGTATATTTGAATCGTACGCCAAATTAGTATTTTGAGAAAAAATAACCTACACCAGACACGGTGCAATAATATTATATTATTAATAACGAGCACACGTCTCGAGCGACTGTCTAGATTCAATTCAATTAATATACCATTTGTCGTCACTTCTCTAATAAGGAATCGGTTGTGCTTTTCTTGACATATAATAATATCATACATTTAATTATACCAAACATTTACTTTTAGTTTATAAACATCAGCAAAGTTCACTGAACAAATTTCGGTTTGTAAGATTAGGCTAACGGAAAAAAAAAATATCTAGATGAACCATCATTGTAACGATATTACACTATCCATAATATATAGATTATAGACCAGAGGTATTCAAACTTTTCATCCCGCGGCTATTTTGGGTGCTCACAATATTTTAACGGCTCCCAAATTATTATGAAAAATTTTAAAAACGCACGGATACAATATGGCGAATATTTTATATAATAGGTTATAATAACAGTGACTTTAGTATTAGAAA